TTGTGTAGATCACATGGAAATTAGATATAATCCAAAGCAGCCCTGGCAGCACTTCATGAATCTATGGAATCGTTTAGATTGGAAAAGCCCTCTGAGGTTATTGAATCCAAACCTTCCCCCAGCACTGCCAATGTCACCACTAAACCGTGTCCCCAAGTGCCACCTCCAGACATCTTTTAAATCCCTCCAGGAATGAGGACTCGACCTGCCAGGACTGGGCAACCCTTTGGGTTCTCCTTTCATTTGCAAAGCTGAAGCTGAGGAATTTGGGAGAGGTTGAGTGACCATGTGCTGGGGCCCAGCCCAGTGTCCCAAGCTCAGGAAATTCATCTGTGACAGATCCAGGTGAAGAGAGGAAGATTCCCAGAAATCCCCAGCTGCCCCCAGAGTCCCTTGCTGGAGGACACTGTCAACCTCAGATCACACACTTTGCACCAGAGGGAGTTTTTTCCTTGTTGGAAAAGACTAAACTTTTTTTGCCTTTTTTTTTTAACCTTTCCTTTTTAGAATTGTCAATGTTTCGTGGGTTTTGCCTGGTAATCTCATCCAAGGTCAAACCGTCCTCTTGCATTACCACTTAGCCCTCCAGCATTTGTCTGCACACACAACCCTGTTTGTCCTTTCCTTGTGTGAGAGCATTTCACATGGATTTGGTCTTGGAAGTTCAGTGCTTGGAGTTTTCCAGTGCATAAAAAACTACTTTGGCTTTGTCGTTTCACTTTCATATCTGTCTTATTTTTTTAACTCCTCTCCAGAATAGGTGGATTAATTCAACATCAGTGCAGAGAGAGAAACGCTTTTTTTTTTTCATTCCAGAAGGAAATCGGTGTTGGAACCTCCATCCTGACCCCGAGGATGGAGGATTTGGGTTGGGATCAGACCTTTTTCATCACATCCAACCTCAGCGCTGCAGCTCCCACCGGTACCCGGTGTGAGATGCTCGGAGGGAGAGCAGGGGCATCGCCTCCGGGTCCAGCCCTTCCCTTCCCTTCCCGGCGGCGGCGGGGCTGGTCGGGGCACTGACCCCAGCGCCGGGGAGTCTGGAGCGGAGCCGGCGGCCGCCGCTCCCCGCCATCAGCCCACACCTCATCAATAGGGGCTGACAGCCCCGGCCCCGCCGCCTCGACGGCACCGCCGACGGCACGGCACGGCTTGGCACGGCCCGGAGTCAGCAGGCAGACCCCTAAGATGGGTTTGGAGGCAGCCCCATCCAGCCGGGATGTAGCGGGACCGATGGTTTTGGGACAGACGTAGCGAAGCTGAGAGCCTTGTGGGTCAGGTTGCGAGTCGCAGGGATCCAGGCATTCCCACAGGCAGGCAGCCCCATAGGTCTGGGATCTAGAGAATGAACTTCCCAGTGACAGATTCCCAGACAGACTGGGGGGGGGTCAAGGCAGCCACGGATCGGGGGTGGTACAGGTAACACAGCTTGTCAAGGATGTAGGGGACCCCACAGGGACAGGTAAGGACATCTAGTGCATAGAGACAGCAGATAAACATGTAGGTGAGACAGATATAGACATATGGATAGCTATCTATACATTTAAAAAAATAGGTGTTTTGGCAAGTAGACAGGCACAAACAGGTAAATAGACACTAATGCCTAGAAAGTTACAATAGATGTATGGATATAGGGATATATGGCTGGATGGATACATGGAAAGATGATGGACAGGTGGATATATGGATAGCTGAAAAACATACGGGTATATGGATAGAAGATGGAGAGATGGGTAGTGATACTGCACTGCCAGGACTCCAGCCCGTGCATTCCCAGGCAGCTCAGCCTTTTGCCTGCCGCAGGAGGCTTTTCCAGCCTCTCGGAGAATGGAAAGGGGCTTTCCATCACTTCTGCTGTTGCTGCCAGACACGAGGGGCTCTGTCGGGGTCGGTCAACACCCACCAGCCAGGAGGGCGATTTCACGGCAGGTGTGCTCCACACGTGCGGTTTTGTTGTCACTGAGTCAAAGGGCCGTGACAACAATGACAATAAAACCACACGTGTGGAGGGCGGTGAGAGTGGGCGACAGGGACCCCGGCGGTGAGGCACCTCTAATCACCCCCCACCACGGGGGATGCTCGCACACTCCTCCCTGTGCTGGTGGCCCCGGGCAATCCCCCCGTCCACGGATGACGTGCTCACAGGATCCCATTCAGCCATTCACGCCACGGCGGCGCAGCCCCTCTCTCCCAAGGGGAGCTCCCTCTGTTCTGGGCTTTCACGTCTCCCCACCAACTTAAAGGATCCCGGATCAGGGAGTGCAGAGCCGCAGTATTTTAGGCTCAGTTCGCTTGATTTGGGCGGTAAAGCTGAACAGGAACGCGGCACATCCATCCACGCTGTGTTTTCAGTGTCCTCTGGGACACCTCTGTCCCCTGCAGCAGGGATCCTCCACGCACACACAGTGGCACAGACACGGGTGGTGTCACAATTCCTGTGGCCCCCGTTTCCCAAAGATACAAGTTTGAGGTGGGTTTTGGTTCCTGCCTCTCCCCAAATTGCCCTGGCACTGACCCTCACAACTCAGCCTCTCTCCTCCCCTGCTGCATCAGAGCACGGACCGCTGCTCCAATACACACCTCTGCATCCCACGGCTTTGTCCCTGAGGAAATCGTTTGTATTTATTTCCACTGGAGGTAAAAAAGAAAAGAAAAAAAAAAGAGGAAAAAGCAATAATATAATATTTGGGGGCATACGGTGTGGTCAGAAAGGATTTAGAAATGCCCCTGAAGCATCGCTGAGCCGTGATGCTCCTTGGACAACCTTCTCCCACGGGTAGTACCCGGCCTTTGGGAGGTGGGGGGGTAGGCGGGGGGGGTGGTGGTGGTGGCATTTTAGGACCACTGCCGTGCTGTAAACAGATGTGACGTTTGTTTAGGGAAGTGTCTCTGAAGGTGTGACAAGAGACTTTCGCGAGCCGGGATGGGGGGTGGCAGCCACAGCAGGATTCCCTCCTCCTCACACAAGCCCTCGGTTGGGGGGTGTGTGTTTGTCCCATTGTCCCACTGGTCCCCTCCAGCCGTGTGGGAGGTTGTCCGCAGTCTCCCGTGGGATTTCCTTGGGCTGGAATGTTTCTTTGGGGGGCAGGGATAAAGGGAATGTACGGGGATCCCTGGGCAGGGGTGAAAGGGGTCCATGGGCAGGGGTGCAGGGGAGTGAAATGGGTTCCGTGGGCAGGGATGCAGGGGATTGTATTAGGGTTGCCCCAAAAAGACATCCACGAGCAGGGGTGAAGGGGAATGCAGGGGTCCATGGGCAGGAGGTTCCAGGGGGTCCATAAGCAGGAGTGCAGGGGGTTGAAAGTCGGTCCGTGGGCAGGAATTAAGGGGGTGCAAGTGGGTCCGTGGACAGGGGTGTAGGAAGGCTCAAGAGGGTCCCGGAATGGGAACTCCAAGGTTCATCGGGGAGGAGGGTTCAGGATCTATCCCCCAGGAGGGTGGACGGGTCCATCCCTCCCCCAGTAGGGCTCCATCGGGGGGTGACGCTCGGGGGTCCCCCCTTTGCTGGACCAGGGGAGGGCTGGAGCAGGCAGGGACGGGGGCAGCGCCCCTCTCTCCATCCCTAGACCCCCGTGACGGGTGGGAAGGAGGCGGGAGGAGGCGATGCCGTCCCGAGACGTCTCCGGGCTCGCAGGGAGCCTCATCCCCCACCCCTGGCCACCTCCCGCTCCCAACCCTGCCCGGTCCTGACGCGCTGCCCCCAAAAAATCAGAGGTGCAGCCGCGCAGTCCCCTCTGCTTTGGGACCCCCCTTCCTCTGCCCAGTTACACCGGCTGCTCTGATACAAGACGAGGCCGGCTGCAGTTCCATATCCCCCGTACCTATGGATACCTATAGATAGATACCTATGGGTAGATACCTATAGATGATCTGTACCGCCCGCGAGGGCACTGATATTTTGGAGATCGGTTTCTCCCCTTCCCGGCTAACCCGGGGTGGCCGGGCCCCTCCCGCAGCCCTTAATGCCCCCCCAGTTCCCTCCTCCAGCCCCCTTCCCGGCCGCAGCCAAGGCATGGAATAAATAAAATAATTAAAAACATAATAATAAAAATCCGAAATACTGGTGAATAATTGGCCCAGCAGCCGCCGGTCGCATTTATCCCTTTTTCTCTGCTAGAATCACATTTCCCCGCTGTTTTTTCCCCCATTTTTTAACGGATTTTCTCCATGATTTTTTAAAAATTCGATTTTCAGTACAGAGAAAATTTTAAGTCAACTTTCCTTCCACCTTCAACACCCCCCGCCCAGTTGCTAATGTGTTCTTTTCTCTTTTCTTTTCTTTTCTTTTCTTTTCTTTTCTTTTCTTTTCTTTTCTTTTCTTTTCTTTTCTTTTCTTTTCTTTTCTTTTCTTCTATTATTTTCTTTCTCTTTTTTTCCTTTTTTTTTCTTTTCCTTTTTTTTTTGCATCCATCACCAACCGAAGCTTTAACTCTAAAACCGCCACGGAATTAACTTAGATACGGAAAAATAAAAAAGGAAAAAAACCCTTAAAACAAAAAATACGCATCGTATCCAGTTTTTTCCTGTCTGGGGAAGAAGGGGGGGCTGAAAAGGAGAGGGGTAAGGTCGAATTTTGTTCTTCTGGGTTATTTTCAGGCAGATTTCGTTAATCGTAAGTGAAAAAAAAAACTCCGAGTGCGGAGCAGAGCTTTTTTCTTGTCGCTGCGTTCTGCAGTGTCCCACCTTCTGCTTTTATTCGGGAGAAAAAGTGTCCGAAATCCATCCTGTCCCTCCCGGTTGTTGGGTTACACCAGGCTGGGCTCGGCTCGGTTTCTCACCTCTTGGATTTTTGGGATGCGCATTCCCGCGACTGCTGCCCGGACCGATATTTCCCCGCGGAAAGAGGTTGGATCAGGCCATGGACACGCAAAACAATCCACGGGAATTGCTTTTGCACTTTTTTTCCTGGAAGTTGCAAAGTCAAGGCAGGTCCTTGAAGTTCTCTCTGCTCTCCGTGTTGCTGCTCAGGCAAGTTTAATCAGTTTTAATTGTATTTTGGCTTTTTTTTTTTTTTTTTAAGGAAAGCGCTTCTATCCTGAAGTAATTCAACGAATCTTCAGCAAGTCGCTGCTTTGGGAGAGAAAATCGTCAGGGATTTTGCAAAAGAGGGAAAGATGGGTCTCCAAAACCCGGTATATCTGGATAGGCAGCTGCTTCGGAGAAGGGATATAAAGAGACACTGATCGAATTAATTCTCCTACCTGCATGCTGATAGCTCCATGTTCATAAGTGGTTTTTATATATACAACTATTTTATATATATTAATATACTATATATATTTATATATTATATATTAATTTTATATAAATAAATTAGTATAATATATGTCTATTTATAGATATTTAATAGTTTACATATTTTATATATATATCTAAAATTTATACCATAGCGTGTTATAAATTATAAATTATTTAGCTATGAAAGTATATACATGTTTATATGTAAAACACATTCCTTTGAATTATAATACACATTAAGTCCCATCTGTACTCAATTTCTCATCGATAGGTATATAATTACATATTTATTAAATACATATTTTTGTATTTACATATATTTATATTTATATTAAATACTCTTTAAATACATAGTTTTCACAGTGTGTTTAAAGTATAAATATCCACAGTGACACTGTTGCTGACATTTATTTGTTATGTATTTCTGTACTTATAATTTTATTTCTATACGTGTCTATAACTATTTTCATCCCGATATTTGCGTTTCAACCGGATTTCTCTCCTGCCGCGTTTTTAGCCTCTGCCAATGCACACCCGTATCCCCCTTTTGGGGTTTTGGGGAGTCCTTGTGCTCCCTCTGGATTTTCCGGAGTAATAAGGGAGACTGCGGGTGGCTCCGGGCAGAGGATATGGGGGTGCCACGTCCCCAGGGACCCGTTTCCGACCCTGGAGCACCCTCCAAGTGCTCCCTTCGCCTTCCATCCCTCTCCCATAAATCGTTTTCCCCACCCCCTCTTTTTTTCCCCCTCCTCCCTTTGCCTCTTTCATACGGAATTTTTAAATTTTAATTTACTTTTTTTCTTTCCAAGCCCCAAAAGGCGCTTCCAGCCGCCTCCCGCCCTCCCACGCAGGACCCACAGATTTCCACGGGAACCCCGGAGTGTAGGAAATGTTTAGGGCGTGAGGTTTATTCCGGGGAACGGGGCAGTGGGAAACTCCTCCCGACAACTCTCAGGGCTGGAGCCATCCCAGCGTGAAAGGAATCCCCGGGAGAAGGGGGACAGTGGAAAGGGGATTACCCCCCCCCCGTGGGCTCCGAGCCCGTGGGATCGGGCCCAAATTGCAGAGCCCCCCTGCACTGCATCATTCACCTTTAGACCCTCTGCAGCACGTGGGGTGCAAAGAGATGGGTGCCCAGTTTGAGGAGGGCACCCCCAAACCGGCTGGGATGACGGGCAGAGCAGCTGCCACCTCTCCACTCCATGATTTGGGACCAAGGTTTGAGGCAGGAGCTTGGAGAAATCCCCCCTGCGCGATATCCCCAAGGAAAGGGGTTGTCTTTAAAGGGATTGGGGAGCTGGAGGTGGTGGTGGGGGGGGGGGTGTCCATACCCCTCAGGAAACACCCCTGATTATTTCTGGGGGCTGGGCACGGGTGTCCCTTGGGTGCACGGGGGACACGACGCTGCCCGGCTGGACTTTGCCTGCAGCGTGGGCTGCCCGTGGGGCCGTCCCGTGGCGCTGCTTTGATTTTATTATTTTATTCCCTTTTTTTTTTTTTTCCCTTCCTTCCCAGCAATGAAACCTGGCGCCCGGCTGATGGTGCAACAGATACCAACCACCCCCCTCACCCCCCCCTTTTCCTCCCATCGCCGCCCACTTCCACGTGACGTGGGCAAACCAGTCAGAGAGTGGGACTGGGGAGCCTGGTCATACTGGGGAGCCAAGGAGGGGGGAGACAGAGCCCCGCTGCCCCTAAGCCCCCCAAGAAGCAGGAGCCAGGCATGTCTTAGCCCTGTGCCTTTCCCGCAGCGAGGGAGTGTCCTACCCCACGGCCTCTCCCCTCTCCACCCCCTGCCCCCCCAGCACTGAAGGTGGGTAGCTCTTCCCTGTCCCCTCGCTCCTCTTCCTCGCTGTCACGCCGGGACCCCAACGAGCCCCTTCCTACAGGCCTCCCCGAAAGCTTCCTCCTATTGTCTCCTCGGGCTTGAAAACGAACTCGATTTTGGTGGGTTTTTGGTTGATTTTTTTATTATCACCATTCCTGTTTGTAAAGCAGGAGGGGAGCTCGCTCCTTTTTCCTCTCCTGTGGAGATTCCCGTGGAAACGCTCCGTTCTAGGCCGATTACACACCAACCACCCCCTGAGTTTCAGGGGGACACAGAGCTCCCTTAAACCCCCTTCTTCCCGGCTCGCTTCCATCCTTACCCCTTCCCAACGCTGTCTCCGGCTTCTCTCCCTTTCCTCGGCCGCCTGCCCGTCTCCCGCTGTCCTCCCAGGGTATCAGTCCTTATCTCTTGGTTATCTCTTCTGCTGCTAAATTCGGCCCAGCGCAGGGGTTCAGCCGGGGGAATCTGTTAGTTAAACCTAAAGCAGCCCCAGGAGTTATTTCTCCGGCCATAATTCCCCTCCATCCAGGCCTTCTCCCGGTGTGAAATGGTTTTCAGAGAACCTTAGAACTCCAGAACAGTTTGAGTTGGAGGGTATCTTAAGGATCATCTACTTCCAACTCCCCGCCATGTGTAGGGGCACCTTCCACTAGACCAGGTGGCTCCAAACCCCATCCAACAGGATCCCTCCATGATCTACAGAGAAAACAGCACGTCAAATTTTCTTACCCCCTTCCCAGACCCTCCTTGGGAAGAGGGTACCCTCCTGACTCCCTTCCATGTGTGTTTTTTAGGGTCTTGCCATTGTGAGCCACCCACAAGGCCCTGATGGCATCCCACGGCCCAAACCCACCCCAAATTCCCCTAAAGGAGCCCAAATCAAAAACCAACCAATATGAGACAAAGCACCCCTCACCCTCCCCCTGCCCCACGGCTCCAGGAGGCGCCTCCCTATCCATACCCATGGCATTCCCGGTCCCCAGTAGGTCACCTTCCTATGCTCACAGCTTCTCCCAACTCCCCACACGGAAAAAAATTAGAGTGAGAGATAAAAAACACACGGAAGGGGGAGTTTTGAGGGTGCTGCTTGGGGTCTGCTCCCCATTTTGAGCAGCACTGATGGGAGTGCAGTGGGTAACACCCCCCCTCTCTCTCCTTTAAGCCCCCCTCGTTCACGCTTGGTCGGGCTTTGGGGGGTGCGCACACGCGTGGGGCAGGCGCGGGGTGGGAGGGTCGAGCCAGCCTTCCTCCTCCTCCTCCTCCCCCTCCTTTTCCCCCCCTTTTCCCTAATTTAACTCCCCCCAAGCCCTCCTCAGCCGCCTCCCGCCGCCCACATCAAACGCCGGCCCCGGGGGCCATTAACAACTTAAAGCACCGATCGTACCTGCGGGACAAAGGTTTTTGCTCCAGGCCACAGGAGAGAGCATCGCTGTCTCTCACCTTCCCGGCTGTGAACCCCCTCCTTTCACCTCCCCCCTCTTCTCTAACCTCCTTATCTCCCCGCCCCGAGGGGGGACCCGGCCCGACCGCCGCCGCATCCCGCATCCCGGCAGCATCTCCCCGTGCTCCCCCGGGGGGTGTTGGACGGGGCGGGGGGGGGGGGGGGGGGGGTGGGCGGGGGGTTTTAAACCGGCCCCCCGGGGGGGGGGGGGGGGGGGGGGGGGGCGGGAGGTGATGGATGGAGACCGGTGGGAGCAGCTAAATCCAGGCGGGAGCTAAATCTCCCCTCCGGAGAGACCTGGACTTCTTGCTTGGGGTCTGGAAGACGCAGCGGGGACCTGCTGAAGGTGGGGAAGGTGGGCGGTGGGGAAAGGGGGGTGGTGGAGGAAAATCGCATCGCTGGTGGTGTTTTGGTTTTGGCTGGAAGGCTGTGCCCACGCGAGACCGCTCCGGCCGCTGCTCACCTCGGGAGAAAGTGGAGCCGGGGGTTTTCCGCCCGCTCCCCATCGCTCTGGATCGCGGCCGGGGACCCGGCTGGGGCTTGGGGAGGCCCGTCGCGAGATGTACCAGAGTTTAGCCATGGCAGCGAACCCCGGCCCTCCGGCGTACGAGGGGGCAGGTGGCTTCATGCACAGCGCGGCCGCAGCGTCCCCGGTCTATGTGCCCACCACGAGAGTCACCTCCATGCTCCCCAGCCTGCCCTACCTCCAGAGCAGCGGCTCTTCCCAGCAAGGCAGCCCCGTCTCCAGCCACTCCATCTGGACTCAACCCGGAGCCGAAAGCGCCGCTTACAATCCCGGATCTTCTCACCCTCCCGTGTCACCTCGGTTCTCCTTCTCCACCAGCACCCCCATCCCTGCCACCTCTTCCCGGGAAGCGGCGGCGGCTTACAGCGGCTCCTTGAACCTTTCTGCTAATGGGAGGGAGCAGTACAGCAGGGGCTTCGGCAGCTCCTACTCCAGCCCCTACCCGGCCTATATGAGCCCCGAAATGGCCACGACCTGGACTTCCTCGCCCTTCGACAGCCCGATGCTGCACAACCTGCAGAGCCGAGGGACGCCCGCGGCCGCCCGGCACGCCAACATCGGTGAGCACAGCCGGGATTGGCACAGGGGAGGGAGGCTTTCACCCCGTCACCCCCCTAGATTTTGGTGCACGTACCCCCCTGCGTGTAGATTCAGGATGCGCGAAGGGCAGGAGGGAGAAATTCGGGGTATTTGGGATGTCGCTGTCGGAGCGGCCTCTCCGGCTTCAACCCCGCTGTGCTGTGGTTGCCCCCCCTGCACACGCATTTACTCTGAAAAACCATTTCCAAATATCCTCAAAGACTACAGCTACCAAAAAAAAAGTTGATAAAATTTAAATAAAATTTAGGGTAGGCCAGAGGCAGCAAGGAATGATGTGACGAGCTCCGGCGCCAAGGCCCTGCTGGCTCCACAAATAGCTCCGAGGGGATTTGGGGATTGCGATGGGGATGGTCGTGGTCTCCAGGATCACGATGTTCCATGGGCACGCAGGCAGCCCCTCCCTGAACTGGATTTAGGTGTAAAACGGGGAAAATTTGTTTGGAAAATCAAGAAATCAAAGTTTGGTCCGTGAATCCCAGATCTTTCCTTTGGGTTGTTTTACGTTCCAGCCTTTTTTAAATTACTTTTGGGGAGTTTGGTTAGGCTGGAAAAAGGGAGATTGAAGGGAAATTTAGAGCTGAGGTGAGAGAGACAATGGAGAAGGAGAAAAAGAAATGCATCCACATTTATTATCCTACTTTTTGGGGAACTCAGGTACATTGGAACAACCCAACCGTGTATTTCAGCGTCACTTCGGTCCTAAAAATCTCAGCCCTGATCTCTTGTGCTGCTCCCAGTCTTGGAACTTTTTATTTCATTATGCCTCTGGTTCCTACGACCAAAAATTGGTCCAAGTGGCTTAAAATATTGTTTTTATTTTTTCCTGGGGTGGAAGAGGGATAAATGGACACAGAAATGTGGGGCACAAAATCACATTGCAGCTTCCTAAACCCTTTTTTCCTTCCCGCCTTCTCTCAGTGAAGGTATTTCTGTCGGCTTCGGGGTCGGGGTTAACAAAGAAAATGCCTCAAATTTGTCTGCAGATATTTTTTAAGATTGTATTCTTAAGTCTGAATTTTGGAGTGTGAGTTTTTCATCGTGTCTAGCAAGATTTGCGTTATCTTTAGCATTATTTTAAGATGCTAAAAGACGGAAAGTTGGGGGCCAGTGAAGGCTTGGCCTTGCCAATGTCTTTTGCTTTTCTTTGGGTGCTAAGAAATTGGTTAAGATGGGAACAGATTAAGGATAAAATTTTAGCCAGCCAGGCAATGTTTTTGGGAAGCCATGAGAAGGTGGAAAGTAGAGGAAAAAAGCAAGATGAATTAAATAATCAAATATTAATTGAATATCAATGAAGACATATGAATATTTGTATTTGACTGGTGCCATCTGTTCCTTGGGAAAAAAAAAATCACCTTTTTTTTGTGGTGGTCTCAAAAGACTCTTAATAAAAAATAAACTAAACCCGAAATAATAATAATGAAGAATTGCAGTTGAAAAATACCCGGCAGCTTTTAAAGTGTCAGAGACTGAGCATGGGGATTTGGGGGTTTCGAGCCCTGTGGTTTGCGTTGCAGGTCTGCATGTTGGTGGCAAAAAGTGGGTTTTATCCGGCTTTTAAATAGTACTGGGAAGGGCGGACGAGTTAAACCAGTCCAGAAAAAGGTTGTTAATGACGGAGAAAGGCTACGGGACTCCCCTTCATGGCCAGGTCCTGATTCGGGTGCCGGATTCACGGGATCGCCGAGGGCAGCGCGGCAGAATCCACGGGATTCATTAGCACGGGTCTGATTACGTCTCTGCCTTGAATATGGAAAAGCCCTTGGATTTTAAATCAAAACTGCTTGGGTTATGATTAAAAAAAAAATAAATAGAAACTTCCTGAGAGCTGGAAAGTTTTAAATCCAGGATTAAGATGGATTTTTGGAAGGCAGCTCCCTGGGGAAGCAGGACCTGCCCCGTTCCCCCTTCTCCCCCGAGTCGGGACGCGGTCGCCGCCGGGTCCCTCCTCGACGGTGGGGCGATGCTTTGCGCAGGCTGTGGGTATCGAGGGGGTTGTGTGAAGCGTGTAAAGGCTGGTTGGGGGTTCTGAGCTTGGAGAAGTGTTTTAATTTAATGATTTTAAGAGTAAAAAACCCTGAAGGTACTGAAAGATGTAGTGTGGGGGGGAAACACCGTTGTGGATTGCACCCATCACAGACCCACTTTAACATCACATCCGAGCCTGGCTCAGCACCTGAGCAGTCCCTGCATGTGGAATCGACTCCTTCTTTGCCTTTCCTTAATTTTATTCTCTGCACAATGAGGAATCTCAAGGTGGAAACGGAATCCTTCACTCAAGGCTCTATTAAATCAAGCGATATTTGCAATGGTCTCGTTTTGTTTTCCTAAAGAACCACCACTTTTGGATAGTGCTAAATGCAGGGCATCCGCAGGGCCACTGAAATTTTAAATATTATAATTTTTTAATAGTAAAGATCAAATCTAGGCATGCATAGCTGATTATGCAGACATGGATTCACAGTCTAGGCAATTGGATATTACATTTTTTCGCCTTTTTATGTGTATATATATATATATCCCAGTAACAATAAAGAAATATGCAGGGGAAAGAAGTTTAGTGAAAATGTATTCGAAGAAAATAACACTAAAAGAAATACAAATTTTTTTTTTTTCCTAAAAAGAGGAATTTTGGCTTGGATTGAAAAGTCATAAAGCACTGGGAAGGTTGGGTGGGTAAGCTACAAGGGCCCATTTGAAAAACTTCCCCTTGGTGTGAGTGCAAAATGCCAAATTTGGGCTTTTCAGGGTAAGTTTGGTGACTGATTTCATTACCCTGAAGAGCAGGATCAGACCGTGCGGTCGAGGCAGTGAACTTGCTCCAGGCATTGCCTGGGATGGAGTTACAGTGAATTCCCGACTTAATGAGGCATGAAAAGGACCCGCTGCAAAGTCCCTTCTCTAAAGACTTCCCTGCCAGCACCAAAAACCTCTCGAAATCTCTCCCAAAATAAGCCTGGATGGGCGGTTTGCCTCTTCCCCCTTCTCCAGGCAGAGGGGAGCAGGGATGGAGGGTGGCACGGACGTCTGAGCGCATCCAGCCCACGGCGATTTGCTGCCTCCTGGATGTTTCCAGGCTGGGAATAGAGGGTCAGATTCCAGTTTACCATCCCCACTCCCTTTAATTTTGCTTACAGTGGGGATTTTACTTTTCCTGTGGGCTCAGGAGGTTGAGAATAAATCGGGGTGGGGGGTTGGGGGCATTCCTGGTGGGTGCTTTTAGGGTTTTTTTTTTGGCTAAGTCGAAGTCAGGGCTCCTCAAACAGGCACCGCTGGAACACAGTAACAGCATCTGGGAAGATCAAAGCCTGGAGCAGACGCTGGGCTGGAAAATGCTGGTGGTGGGGGAGATATTGGGAAACAGATCTTAAGCTTTGCCATAGGGATGCTAAGAGATTTGACCTGTCGCATCCCGCGGCCGGCATTCCCAGTGATTCATTGGCATTTGTTACAACCCTCTGCCCTACAAGCAGCCCCTGACCTTCCCCACGCACCGCAGGACACGGTGGTTTGTCCCTGTGGGGTGGCAGGTGATGAGGGGAGCCCAGAACCTCTCCTGTCCCTGCCCCCGGAGAGATGGGACCGTACGATGGAAGGATGGGGCTGTCGGATGGAGGGTTGAGACCGTGGGGTGGTGGGATGGGACTGTAGGATGGAAGGATGGGGCCATAGGACAGAGAGATGGGGCTGGAGAATGGCGGGAATGGTTGGAGGATGGCGGGATGGGGCTGTGGGACGGCGGGATGGGACCGTAGGACGTGTCTGCATTTTACAGGCGATCCTACATCTCCTGTGTCGCAATCGGTTGCATTTCTCACCTCGGGGAAGGTTTGCCCAGGGCTTTGTTCCCCTCTGCGGGTTTCAAGCCACCTCCTGCTCTCCTGCCTAATTTAATTGTCACTCGTCAGTCTGGGATTTGGGATGAAACCCACAGAATTAGGGTTTCTAATCTTTGAGCAAGACCAATCTCAAACAGGTAAATGTTTATTCCCCCCCAAATCCCC